ACTCAACTCAAGCATGCAGGTAGCAATGCTGAGGTTCAGCTACGGTGGTATGCTCAGAAACAACCCAGTGAACCGGCCTCAAAAGAGTTTCAGTCCGTACCACGGTGCTCGGTGACACCCTCTCCCCGTATGATACTGAGTAACAACCTCGGCCGAAAACATCGACAGAGCGGTCAGCAAGAACTTAAAACTTACCGTAAGACGGAGCATGGTTCTAGCAGCGGCGCAGGTGGGGTGCATCGCCGTTGCCGCGCGATGGACGTGAGGAGAGTGACGGACGAATAGTGCGTGGTGCCGACAGCGGACTGGCAGCACGGACGACCACTGTGTGTTCCGGTGATAACCTTGAAAGGCAAGAATGATTAGAATGGATGTCACAGCATCTTATATAGGAGTTTGAACAACAGAAGCGACGCGGAATGCATGAGCGACCGGCCGTCGTCACGTTGCGAAACCCATTCCGCAACGTTGCCTCGTCTCGACCAATGACAGAGACGATGGCGGATGGGGCGACGGTGATTTGCGGACGGCGTGGTGACAGATTTGAAAAGCTACGACAAGTGTCATCGTCTTGGCCGATAGACGACTCGATCGATTCGTCTCAGCCAGCGACCTTGCGGCCCTGGGAGCCAGCTGGAAGTACTGCAGCAGCACTGAACACCTAATCACTCCTCTGATCAACCTGTCTACTCGCCCTCGCCCTCGCCCGCCCACCCACCGATCGCCATCGGCAGGCAATTCGCACCACGCAGCCGCCGACGGCTCACCACCTGATGCTCCATGTACCGGATGGGCAATGAATGGGTGGGGTAACTAAGTGATTTTCCGCAGTGCCGTTTTCACGCCATATCTAGCAGGGTGGCGTTTTTAGTGATCTGTTATTCGGCTCACGTCAGCGCCGGCCGGCACGCCCCTACCCTTGTATGCGATTGGTTTGAGAAAATTTCTCAAATTTTTCTTCGCATCGACTTTCTGGCGTATCGGTCAGTTGGCCGCCGATGGACGCGCTTGCCACTGGTCTGTCGATGACCAACCGACGACGGATCCTTGTCACATCAGGGGTCATCGTAATTTCACCGTCGGTCAGAACCGTCAGTGATCGCGCGACACGTCGCAAAGGTGGTCTTTGCGTCGAGTCATGTTCAGTCGATCGACCACCTGTCACTTTTCATCCTTCGCTCCAAGTGGCACGTTTCGACAGGTGATCACCTGGCCCAAGGCCGGTTGTTGTCCACCGGCCGTTACGATACGGTCCCAGGTCAATGGCGTACGAGGCGAAAATTTTAAATCTCTAACTCGCAATCCACTAATATTTATCAAGCGA